TTAAGCATCTGCCTCTTGGTTTCGGCTCAGGTCATGATTTCAGGGTTGTGAGATTGAGCCCCGCATCCAGCTCTGTGCTTAGCTGGGAGTCTACTTGAGATTCTGTCTCCCTCTCCCACTGCCCCCCCCGACCCTGCCCTCTCTCACCCTTTCAAATAAATAAATAAATAAATAAATAAATAAAATTCTTTTTTTAAAAAAAAGAAAACATTCAGGAAACAGTCTAATTAAATTACCCTTGTTTGAGCATACTAAATCACGAAATGGTAAGGAACTAAAATTTATAGTATAGTCAAAGTCTTATAGTTTTTTAAATTGTAATTCTAGCACAATCCACAGAAAAAAAAAAAAACCTTGATTTTAACTTTATTTCGTAACACAGTGTCTGTGTTATTTCACAGTAACTGGTTATGAACCAGTTATACTCCATGTGGATTTTTTAAATTTGCCATTCCATATCTTGTATTTCAAGAATAATTGTTTGCCCGATTTCAGAGCAGAATGCCATAGTTATTCTCATCAATTCCGTTGACTTCAAATGGCAAGAATAATAGTGGATATTTTGGTCAGTAGATAATTCTACAAGACAAAGATGAGGGAAAGCCTGACCATGGGACTTCTGAGTTGAAGCAGAAAGTATAATAGTTAAATTTTTGAGCCACTGATATTCTCATTATGCCCTGCTTCACATAAATATGCCTTGATACCCAGTTAACTGTGTATAAAAATTAAATGTAAAATACATAACTTTATAAAAAGAAGCTTTTGTACTTACCTTTGTACTTACCTTTTCTCATTCTTTAAGTCTTTTATATTTTTCAAATATTTGCAGCCCTTTTTATTAGCTATAGTGTTAACATGACACTTGCCATGAAACTATTAGAAAATGCTGAAAAAGCTAACATTATCATATTTACTTCCTATACAATAGTTACTAAGATTAATAAAATCAGATTTATAAGGCAAGTTATTGATGAAAAGAAAATCAATCTGCTGCTGCTTAAGTGTGTTTAAAATAATTCCTAGGATATTTTCATTTTGTATAGCACCCTTCTTCTGGAGCTAAATCATCCTAAGGAAATGCACAACTACAACACATTATACTGTGGGAACTTTTCCCCTCTCCTCTGTATAAAAGACAGAAAGATTTCTTTCAGACTGCATATAACCATCATACCTAGAAGAATTCAGGGAGGGGTACTGTTTTGAAATCCAGTCTTACAGGTTTTTCTCCCCTCTTTCCCCAAGCCTAATGTTATATAGAAAGCAAGACACTATGCCTTCATATAAGAGGAATGCTAGTATGTTAATCAGCAAAGAAGCAATCCGGTTGTTTCTAGAAAGGATACGTCATTCCAGAATTAACTACATATAAGATATTCTGCATTCATGGGAGACATTGACCATCTGAAGTACCCCAGGGGAGGACTGTTGAGTGCTGAATTCTGGAAGCAAGTTCTGAAAAACCCTAATAGAGACAAGATAATATGTTTTTATGTATTCAGAAGGCCATCATAGAGACAAGGAAGCAGATTTATGTTTTTATGTCTGTAGAAACTTAAGCTAGGACAGTTTGTGGGAGCTACACAAAATTAGATTTGTATTCTGTATGAGAAGAAAAGCTCATTACAGCCAACAATGGTTAGACTTCAGAAGTGGTGACCTCTCTCTCTCAGAAATAATCAGAGGCTATGTGATCATCCTTACAAATTCAGTAGGCAAGTTCATCATTAAATAGAGGTTCATCATAATCTAAAGGTTTTTTTCCTAACTCAGAGTTCTCTGACATTGCATATTAATTACCTCATTTATCCTATAGCATCATTTTAGAACAAGAATAGTGCAGGTAGGAATTCTGTGGTAGGAGAATCAAACCAACAGGAAATAAGAATCTCACCTATTCATGTTTTTGTTTTTTGGTTTTTGTTTTTTGGGTTTTGTTTTTTTTTTCTGACAGAGAGAGGGAACACAAGCAGGGGGTGTGGGAGAGGGAGAAGTAGGCTTCCCGCAGAGCAGGGAGCCCGACACAGGGCTTGATCCCAGGACCCTGGGATCATGACCCGAGCTGAAGGCAGACGCTTAACAACTGAGCCACCCAGGCACCCCTAACCTATTCATGTTTTTGTTTATTCCATCAGTACTACCAAAAAAAGATTTTAAGGCATAATGACTCATGTTGTTGGAAGAGCTAGAATTAGAGCCCTAGTCTTGTGCCTTTGCTGTTAAAAAACAGTAAGTGAAACAGTCATGAAAGTTTTGAGACAGCTAGTGTCGTTTCTGTCTGATATTTGACTTACTACACATAGACAAAGATGCTTTTTTTCTTATTACTAAAATGAAGCAGAAAAATCTATTGCGCTTCCAGGAACAATCTAGAGTCGTTATTGTTATCACTGTTGTTAATGGTAGACTAATATAAACACAGATTCTTAACTAGAACAGACCTAATGCATCTCCATTTCCTAGTAGCAAAGATTGTCATGGAATTCTGAGTAAAAGATGTACAGTAATGAACTTTGTATAGAATCTTACTGTTTTAATCAGTTCCAACATATGCTGTCATTTTGGAAATCATTGTAGAGGAGGTAGATTTATGTTGTTAACACAGTGGGAGAAAACTTCACCGTTCACTCTGTCAGTAGCCTGGGATTCAAAAGAATTCCTCTCTCAGTTCCTTTTTGTGGAAATTAATTGTGAGTTAGCAGAAACCCTGGACATGTTAAAGCTTTCCAGAACAGCTAGATCTAAAAATTACACTGAGGGACACCTGGGTGGCTCAGTTGGTTGAGCATCCAACTCTTGATTTTGGCTCAGGTCATGATCTCAGGGGTCCTGAGGGGTCAAATAAATCTTTGAAAAAAAAATATATATATATATTACTCTGAAGCCAACATTTAAAGGGAGACAGGGAAGTACAAGAGAACATGATCAGGAGATGAAGATTGAACAGGCTGAGAGAACCACTCCTGGAAGGACCTTTCCTGATAGACTGCAATGTTTCTCTTATGTCAGGTATGTCCTTGAAATGAACAGCTTGGAACTCAGCTATTGCAGACTGATGTAATCAGTGAGTCATGTTTTGTTTTTTGTTTTTCTAGGTTAAAACATACCAGAATAGAGTATGTGTTTATTATTGTTCAGAATCACTGTCTTACTATTGGATGCCATGGAGCATAATGAAAAAGTTTATTGCCTTTGGATTCAGCATTGACCTAGGTTCACTTACCATTTCTGCCACATATTAGCTATACAACTTTGAGCTAGTCATGTGTGGCTTTGAGCCGCAGCTTCCTACTCTCTTTAAAAAATAAATTAAAACTTTCAGGGTTGAGCATACAAAATCAGATAATTATGAAACTTTAAATTATTGAGCTCAATGCTTGGCGTAGTAACTCTTCAGTAAAAGCACCCAGACAAGTAGGAAAAATTTAAGAAGTCACAGTAAGTATACAAAAATCTAAATCCCCCCAGGTGTATCCTTTGCAACAATTTGTACTTGTGACCCAAAAAAGCACAAGCCCGTTGGAAGCCATTATCAAGTGAGGCAGGCAATTGGAAGCTGACAAGAACATGATTCACCCAGGCAACTAAAAACCAGGAGCTCACCAGCCTAGCTGGCTAGCTAGCTGAAAATGGAATTTAACCCTACAGGATGTTACTATTGACAAATTCATAAGCAAGATGGGAATATGGATTCTCTGTAACTGTGGATAATGTACTAAGCCCTTTTTACTTTTTTTTTGTCTACATATAATCTTTAAATTTTTAAATAAAAGTTATGTTAACTGAAAATCTAATTCAATAGTATTAGCATATATAGGATATTTTATTTTGGTTTATTCTCCACGTCTATATAAATTTGAAGTACCAAAGGAAGGAAGTAAACAATATTGTTTACCAGAACATTTAGCATGGTAAGGAAGAAGGGACATTACATTTTATTCTAATGTACAAGTATATTAATTATATTTATATTATACTGATTGATCTAGGAGCTCTAAAGCGTCTTAAAGAGTTTTTACCATTCAGTTAAGGGAAAGAAAATATATACATCCACCTTCTCAAGCTTTGCATTTTTCACTTTATTTTTAAACTCAGCTTTATTTTAGCATTTACATATACTTTGCTCAGTAATTTGTATACCTAGCTGACATGGTTGAAATAGGCTGGGTAGCTACCAGTATGCTTTTCTGCCTATAGATAATAACCTGATGGCTGAATGACATCTGCTGGACTCCTGATAGCACTTAAAATGGAGAGACTAGAAAGACCAAAGTAGAATCTAGCTGGTTTTATTTTTTTTAAAGATTTTTGTATTTATTTATTTTAGAGAGAGGGAATGCACACACATGCATGCATGTGTACACGTGCGTGCGTGTGGGGGGGTGTGGGGGGGTGAGTGAGGGAAGGGGCAGAGGGAGAGGGAGAGAAGCAGACTCCCGGCTGAGCCTGGAATCCGATGCTGGTCAATCTCACAACCCAGAAATCACAATCTGAGCCGAAACCAAGAGCCGGGCGCTCAGTCAACTGAGCCATCCAGGTGCCCCCAAACCTAGCTAGTTTTAAAAATGCAAGACAAAGACTTAGAGTTTCAGCCTCTTACTTTGCAGCAGTATGTCTCACCCCAAGCTGACTTTCATGCCCAGATAAATAATGCTATATTTAAGTAACAGAGCAACATTAATATGATACAGTTAAGAGGATGGTTTCTAATAAAGCACAGCTGAAGTATATGGGAGATTAGTGTTGAAACTCAAGAGACAAGTGCTATCTTAATGGCATAGTCAAGTTTCTCTTTTGGTTTTAAGGAGTATCACTACAAATTAATCTAGATAAATATGGTGGCATTCTGTGACTTGATAATACGTTGTGTTTAACCATCTGTTTTTCTTAAAGGAACGATTTTTTATTTTTAGTCAATGCCTTCTAAATACTTTTCTTTCTCCCCCCTCCCTCTTCTCTTCCTTCCCTCCTATCCTTTCCTTCCTTTCTACTTGCAGCTCCTCAGAGAAATTTTGAAATCGCCTTCAAGATGTTTGACTTGAATGGAGATGGAGAAGTAGACATGGAGGAGTTTGAACAGGCAAGTTATTCTGGAAAGTTCCTTTAAGTACATTAATATTTAATACATTTTCATGTATCTTGGAGTTATTTTGGTCTTGGTCAGCATACTCAGATGCTATCCAGTTTTTGAAGTACCTAATGTGTCATTTAAAAAAATCGTCCTCACTTTTAACAAGTGGGTTTTATTTGTTTGTTTTTACTCTAAATATAAGGAATTATTTGAGCATATGATTAAGATCAAAGTTCTTCTGATTCCCCAACATGAATTAGACTTTGACGCTGAGAGGAAAAATTATGGCTATTCAATCATGTGTTTAGTCAATGCTTATTAAACAGCTCCTTTGTGCCAGGTAGTTCCAGAATATAAGGATGTACTGAAAGGATTTCTGTAGGAGAAGGAAAAATGATGCCATGCCTTTGACTGTAGCAGGTCCAAGCCATAGATGTATACAGTTTCTGATGAATCCTAGGAAGAGACTACATTTCCATAAAACTTCTATCATTGGTGGGCCATGATACCTCTTTAGATACAATGATTATGATTGTCAGAATGGCTTCAAAACAAAACAAAAGATATATATATGGATGTGTAAGAAAGCATTTTGTATTTAAAATAAGGAATGTAGCAAAAAGGAAATGGGAGAAAGTATGAGGTACAGTATATCTTTAAATAAATTCACAGAGACAAATATTTTTAAATACCTGGAGACATTTATTCAAATCTGCTTGCTGTGTCCATTGAATACCTTCACTTTTCCATAATCCTGCACTTTACTGGTATTGCCCAGTGGCCTCAAATGATTATACAAAGAACTTATTTTGCTATTTTTAAAATTTTATTTTATTTGAAGAGGGGATAGGGCTAATTTTATTTTCATTTGGACTTTAGTTGAGAAACACAATTTACCCCCCCACACCCCCCTTTTTCTTTTTTTTTCTTGAGTTTTTATTTTAATTCCAGTTAGTTAACATACAATGTGATATTAGTTTCAGGTGTACAGTATAGTGATTCAAAACTTCCATACATCACCCTGTGTTCATCACAAGTGCATCTTTAATCCACATATTCAACCCATCCCTGGATTTTATTTTATATAAAACTATTTAATTCTATTTTTATTGAGATATTATTGACATAACATTGTATTAGTTTTAGGTGTAAAACATAATGATTTGATCTGTGTATATATTGCAAAGTGATTACCACAATAATTTTTTTCTTTTTCTTTTTTTTTTTTTAAAGATTTTATTTATTTATTTGACAGAGAGATAGCAAAAGAGGGAACACAAGCAGGGACAGAGGGAGAGGGAGAAGCAGGCTTCCCACAGAGCAGGGAGCCCAATGCGGGGCTCAATCCCAGGACCCTGGGATCATGACCTGAGCCAAAGGCTGACGCTTAACCGACTGAGCCACCCAGGCGCCCCGTTACAATTTTTTTTTCTTGTGATGAGAATTTTTAAGATCTACTCTCTTAACTTTCAAATTTACAATATAAAACAGTGAATTATAATCACCATGCTGTACATTAATCCCCAGGACTTATTTATCTTATAACTGGAAGTTTATACCTTTAGACCACCTGCACCCATGGGGATCCCCCGCCTCTGTCAACCAACAATCTCTTCTCTGTGTCTATGAGTTTGGCCTTTTTTTTTTAAGATTATATATATATAAGTGAAATCATACAGTATTTGTCTGTCTTTGTCTGACTTATTTCATGTAGCATAATGCCCTCAAGGTCCATCCATGTTAATCACAAATGGCAGAATTGTCTTCTTTTTTATGGCTGAATAATACTCCATTATATATATACACCACATTTTCTTTATCCATCCATCCATTGGTGGACACTGACGTTGTTCCCATATCTTGACTATTGTAAATAATGTTGCAATGAACATGGATGGGTGCAGGTATCTCTTTGAGGTAGTGATTTTCTTTCCTTCTTATAACTACCCAGAAATGAAATTGCTGGATCATATGGTAGTTCTATTTTTAATATAATTTTCAGGGGAACCTCCATACTGTTTTCCATAGTGGCTGCATCAATTTACATTCCCAACAATAGTGCACAAGGGTTCCCTTTCCTCCACATCCTAGCCAACACTTCTTATTTTTTGTCCTTTTGATAATAGCCGTTCTAATAGGTGTGAGGTGTTAACTCATAGTTTTGATTTCCATTTTCCTGATGATGAGTGATACTGAGCACTTTTCATGTACCTACTGGCCATCTGTATGTCTTCTTTGGAAAAATGTCTATTCAGATCCTCTGCCCATTTTTAAATAAGATTGTTTGGGGTTTGTTATTGAGTTGTAGGAGTTCTTTAATATTTTGGATATTAACCCTTTATGAGATATATGATTTGCAAATATTTTCTCTGATTCAGTGGGTTGCCTTTTCATTTTGTGGATAATTTCCTTTGCCATTCAGAAGCTTTTTAGTTTGTCATCCCACTTGTTTGTATTTGCATTTGTTGCATTTGCTTTTGTGTCAAATCTAAAAAGTCATCACCAAGACCAATGTCAGGGAGCTTTCTTCCAGGAATTTTATGGTTTCAAGTCTTAGATTTAAGTCTGTAATCCACATTGAATTAATTTGTGTAGGGTCTGAGATAGTGGTCCAGTTTCATTCTTTGCATGTGGCTGTCCAGTTTCCTCAGCATCATTTGTTGACGAGACTGGTCATTCTCCATTGTATATTCTTGGTTCTTTTGTCATAAACTAATTGACCATATATGTAGTGGGTTTATTTCTTAGATCTTTATTCAATTCCATTGATCAGTGTGTCTATTTGTATACCAATACCATATTATTTTAATTACTATAGTCTTGTAGTTTAAGACTATATTTGAGGGGCGCCTGAGTGGCTCAGTTGTTAAGCGTCTGCCTTCAGCTCAGGTCATGATACCAGGGTCCTGGGATCGAGCCCCGCATTGGGCTCTCTGCTCTGTGGGAAGCCTGCTTCTCCCTCTCTCACTCCCCCTGCTTGTGTTCCCTCTCTCGCTGTGTCTCTCTCTGTCAAATAAATAATCTTTAAAAAAAAAAAAAGACTATATTTGAAATCAGGGAGTGTAATACCTTTAGTTCTTCTTTCTCAAGATCTCTTTGGCTGTTCAGGGTCTAGGTTTTTTTAATATATTTTTAAAGAACCAACTTTTGGCTTTATTAGTTTTCTCTATGGTTTGTGTGTTTTCTAGTTAATTGATTTCTACTCTCATTTCTTTCCTTCTACTCATTTTAGGTTTCTTTTGCTCTTTTATCAGTCTCTTAAGATAGCATGGTTGGTCATTGTTTTGAGAATTTTCTTCTTATAAGCATTTAATGCTTATTATAAAGCTTATAAGCATTTAATACTACATTTCCTCTTAGTACGCTATAGAAGCATCCTCTAAAATTTGATATGTTGTATTTTCATTATCATTAAATTTGAAGTATTTTCTGCTTCACACGTGATTTCCTTTGTGACCCATGAATTGCTTAAAAGTGTGTTGTTTCTTTTCCAAGTTTTGAGGCTTTGTTTTTTTGGTTATCTTACTGCTGCTGCTATCTAATTTAATTACATTGTGCTCAGAAAACATACTCTGCATGATTTAAATGTACTGAGTCTGGTTTTATGGAACTGCATCTGATCTACCTTGGTAAGCATCAATGTGTCTTACTAAAGAATGTGTATTCTGTGGTTATTGAGTATAGTGTTTTATAAATGTCAATTCTGTCAAGTTGGTTGATAAGTGTTGTTCAGATAGTCTTTGTCCTTACTGATTTTTGTACCCTAATGATTTCTAGCAGTTGTTGAGATGGAGTTGTTAAAATCTCCAACTATAATTATGTAATTGTTTGTTTCTCTTTAATTCTTTTGATTTTGGCTTTATGTATTTTGAAGTTTACTGCACATTTCTGATTGTTATGTCTTCCTCATGAATCAGTCCTGTTATAATTATGAAATGTCACTCTTTATCTTTGGTAATACTCTATCATAAAATCTATTTTATGTGATTTTAACATAGCAATTCCAGCTATGCTTACTATTTGCATGGTATGTCTTTTTCTTTTTCCATCTATTTACTTTAAATATATCTGTGTCTTTGTATTTAAAGTGCATCTTTTATAGACAGCATTAGTTGGGTCTTGTTTTTTTATCCATTCTGACAGTCTTTGCCTTTTTTTTTTTTTTTAAAGATTTTATTTATCTATTTGACAGAGAGACAGCGAGAGTAGGAACACAAGCAAGGGGAGTGGGAGAGGGAGAGAGAGAAGCAGGCTTCCTGCTGAGTGGGGAGCCTGATGCGGGGCTCGATTCCAGGACCCTGGGACCATGACCCGAGCTGAAGGCAGACGCTTAACCGACTGAGCCACCCAGGCACCCCTAAAAAAATTTTTTAATTTAAAATAAATAAATAAATAAATAAAACATAAGAGCTAGAATTTAAAGTTGGGGAAAAGACAAGTGGCCCAAATGGTTAGTGATCAAAATCACCCACAATCTCTAAAACAAAGGAGCCTCCATGCAGGGAAGTGGCCCAGCTCTGTCTAGTCGCGTAGCTGGCAATATGTCTGTTTGAGACAGCCATCTTTGAAGTGCATGCCGTGGCCACCAAAGTTTAACGCATTTGCATTACAAAAAAGACAGCTGTCAGGGCTTACAATACAGGTCGCATTTGAATTAAATTATAAGTGTGTGTGTATATTGGGGAGTGGGGGGCAACATGACTTTTATCCAGGATGAAGTCATCCATTTCTCTTGATGTTTTAGAAGTTGAGAAATGTAGCTTCCTTTCACTTTATTCTCTCTACTCAGTTTTTACAATTTTAGTAATCTGGCATTTTTTTATTCCATATTATTTCTTTAAATGACTTTACATTACATATTTTCTCTTTCAGGGATATTTCTTACACTTGATTACTATACATTTTACATTTTGGCAGAATAGCCAAGAGTGTGTGCACTAGGGGCCTGCCTGGATTTGAATTCTGGCTCAGTGACCCTGGACACACTGTACCTTAGTTTACTCTTATTT